GTATTTTCCGTATTTTCCATACCACGGAAGCATGTTTACTTAGTGTTTTCATCCCCATAAAGCTGTCTCAGTGCACAATCAGTAACAGAATGCGTCTCAGAACGACAAAGAGAGCAAGTATACTTCCTCTTTGATGGCGCAGGTCCGTTCTCATACCAGCTCTTCTTACGTTTTCCCGCGTTTTTCACTGGCCTCCCACGAGGAGGAGGGATAGCTTTGGGAATTCTTAAGTTCTGACCAAAAGCTACTAACCGTTTCGCTTGTTTGATAACTTTGTCGACAGAGTATTGCGCCGGCATTGAGTAACACCAGCTGTAGTAATTCTCTTTCCATGCTTTCGTCAAATGTCGTCGCGCAACGTGCTTATACAAATTATTAGATCCGTACTTTTCACATATGACAGCCGTTCCGAGATAGCAAGGAAAACCGGAACCATCTCGTGAATGCATGCAGCATGAAGGGGGCGTGTTTGGCTCTGAACGCATGACTACATGCCTCAAACGCGTTCCGTCCACCACGCTTCGTACCGTCGCCTCCATTTGCCCCGTTCCCTCTACAAACCTAACAGACTCCTTATAAACTCTTGATCTCTGAATGAGTAGCGCAAGACGTTGTTCAATGTGAGGTGGTACGGGACTCTTGCAGTTCATTGCAGTTGCTTGCCGCTTCAAAAAGGCAGTTCGCTGTGTCGACACAACTTTCTCCAGCATCTTCAGAGGCTCCACTGTCCTGATGTGGTTTAGCAGGGCGGCGGACATACCACTTTCAGCTCCTTGAGATGTCGTGATTAGATCTTGCAACATCGAGCATGCTCTGTACAGCTCACTGTCATCAAACCTATTCAGGTAATCTGACATCTTCATCGGGAATTTTTTTTTGGCTTGAATAACCTCATCCCTGCTTGGGTTTCGAAGCGCTTTATCGTACATGCGCACACCAACAACCTTTCCCGCACCCAGTGCTGTAGCGAGTTTTTTTCGGACATGCAGTGGGTCCAGGAACAACTTCGCGTGCTGCATGCACCGCTTGTACGCTGAGTCGATAGATTTCTCCTGGTCGACAATTGTCGTCCTTGTAGGTACATCAAACCCTGGGATATCCGCGGCGGCAGCAAAAACTTTCTCCCACGTGTCCATTCCCTCAGCTCCCAAGAAATGGGCGAACACCAAGGGGCAGAGTTGATGGTTAGTGTCGTATCCGAACACTTCAAATGTGGTTCCGTAAGAACGGCGGCCCAAACCCTCGCAATGAGCGGCATCCGCTGCGCATGTCATCCTGCCCTTTCTACAGAAAGCTTCTGCAACCATCGGGACGAAGAGGAACCCGCCATAATATTTACCCTCATCCGCAATATCCGAGACGTCCACATCCTCTACATTAAACCCGGGTTGTAGGGATCTTAGTTTTTCAGAGTATGAAAGTTTTTGCTGTTGTTTGTATATGAATCGTGCAGCCTTGATGCGCTGCGCCTTCATTTCCGTACCGGACAAGATGAAAATGTCCACCCTGTGCCCCAATTCCCTCAACAAATCGGAGTATCCTTCCAGGGCGGCCATGTCAACGGCTCGAGCAGCTGAGATGTATCTGTTCAGCTCGCGCCTCACAGCGCGAATGTGTGAGTTTGCTGGTTGTCGACGGTTAATTGACTTCGCCCTTAAAATGGACGCTAGGACGCTGGTGGGCATGTCAGGGTTCAAGGCGAACTCATCACGAAGCGCCCGTGCGGTCTGCTCAGCGGTATACGCCGGTCTAATTTGACAGGACTTTCTGTCGACTGACTGCCCATAGCACTGGTTTTCGTGCTCTTGGAACCGATTCAACTTCCACAATCGCGATTTCGGTTGCCGATTAAAAGTGAGAGTTGCGGCACAATGCTTTCGTCGACAGTCCATACGCACCATTTCGAAGTTTTTCACCACATTCACTCCCTCCGGCACACCCAAATTCGCAGTATATGCTCGAATGAGCTGCTCGCAGCGCCATCTTCCGGAAAGCTGAATCCCAACCTCAGGGGTATACGGGACGCATCGCCGGGGAACCCACGTCATCTCTGCTACTCTATCCGCCGCTATTTCCGTCATTGCCTTCCGCTGACTTCTCTTTTTTGACGCTCTCTTTTGTTCCGCTCGCCGTTTCTTCTCTTCGTCTTCAGACAAAGTTCTGAGGTCAACTGGCAACACCCTTTCAGCCGCAGCTGCTGCATCACAAGCTTCTCCATTGCTGCTGGTGTCTTCAGGCGTGACGGCTATGTACGCTCCGAAATCAAAGTCATCGTCGTCAATACATTCCGGGCGAGGGGAACGAGAGGAATCTGCTTCATCTTCAATCGAACTTTCTTCTTCGGCATCAACATCCTCATCGTCCTCTTCCTCATCCGAGTTCACCCCGTCACCCCCCTCTCTATCCCAATCATCGTCAGGCGCCCCAACGAACTCCGCTTCCTCACCATCTGGGCCGTGACCCATTTTAGATTCAAACTCTCTACCCAGGACATCGGTCATAAAATCGGTTCCGTCAAACGAGGATGTATGGATCCTGGGGGAATTATTTCGAGCCCCTCCTTGGCTCCTTGATTCATGACGATCCCTTCGTTCCCTCCTCTGCCTCTCTTCTCGTTTCCGCGCCTCATTATCCATACGTGCTCGTTCCTGATAAGACATTCTCTTCTCTCTGCGCTCCCTAGCCATCCGTTCCCGCCTTTGCGTAATCGTCTCAGGCTTTTCCACCTGACATATGTCTTCGTCTTCCGTTTCCCATTCTTGTCTCATTTCCTTCTCCATCCGCTGATGTCCCCATTCACTTTCCGCTGAGCCGTTTCTTTCCCTCTCTTCCTCCAATGCCTGCTCTTTTTCTCTCTCCGCTTCTTCCCTCTTCGCACGTGCTCTCTCCTCCTCTAGCCCCTGCTCCCTTTTACGTCCCAACTCCTGAGCTCTTTCTTCTTGCATCCTTTCTTCACGATTGCGACGCCCCTCCCTTTTTTCCCTTTCTTCACTTTTTTCCGTTTCTTTGCTCCTATCCTCGCCTTTTTCCGCTTGAGAAGACATTTCCTCCTCCTCAGCCATGATCTTTCTTCGAATATTCTCCCTTTCCTCCCTTAACATGAGTTCGAGTAGTTTCTCCTTCGAGGTTGGAATGAGTGTAAAAAGTAGTGTTGCGGGAACTAAATTTGAAGCATTTTCCCCGTTTTCCATCTCATCAAAACGAATGTCTCTCTCAGCTTGTTCTTTTGCGCGAGTGAGCTTTTGCATAGCTTTATTCGCGGAGGAACGATCCGACACACATCTGTCCGGATGAACAAGAAAAGAGAGCTTCTTGAAACGCTTTTGTATATTGCGCAAAGTGGGCTCGTCACTTTCGTCCGCCGTATCTCCGGGATGAGCGCAACAAAAGACGTCAATTACGGGCGTTTCGTTGATGATGATGGTCCCAAAGTGATGCAAGGCCTTTCTGGCGTCTGGCGGAAAAGATCGCATTATCCCTCCAAAATATGGCAGAGAAAAAGGGGAAAGAACAGAGGGTGACAGTGAAAAGCGAGCTGCGGTGCGAGGGATACTTCCGGAGGATGGATTTTTGTGGGGTGACTCTCAGAGAAAGTGGTCGAGGCGCAGGCCGAGGCGCAGGGTACTTGACAAGAATATCTGCGCTGCGGACGTCCTACAAATGAGACACTCATGCCGGCCAGAAACACTGTTTCTGGAGGACCAGTAGTTTCATACGAATTGCTCAATTTTTGCAGATAATGCGCCATACATGCCATTTGTGCAATGTCCGAGTGTTTACCAGAGCTTTGAGACCCACATTTACGTCACATATCGTTGTTGTTGTACACTAGTTTTGAGAGCTGCTCCGTAGCACGCTGATTATTGAGAAAACCCAAAGTTTACAGGGATACATGTTTTGTCACCCGTCCTATCTACTCGTACAAGTAGTCTCAATTTCACCGAAGCTCTTTCAAATTTTGTACTGAAGCGGTGAAATGGAGGGTATGAGGGGAAGAAGGGGTAGCGGATGGGTTGTTTGGACCGAGAAGTGAAAGCTCAAAACCTCCAATGATTACTGCAATGTACGCATGAGACAAAAGTCGTTAATGGTTCATCTGCGCACCGGGTCTGCATCTGGTAATAAGTACATTTTCTTTGCTTGCATTTTCCGCACTTGAACATATCAGTACTTGCCTCTTGCTTGCTAAACGGCATCGCATCTCTGGTCATCTTAGCACGAACTTCCTCCCGATTCTTTCGTAGCTCATGATGAGGGCGCAGGCGTCCGTTTCGCCGAGAATTCGTTCAGAGAGGACAGGGGCGTTGGGGTGTTGGTCAATACAAATGCAACAGCGTTTGATCACATGAGCAATGTCCCAGTCGATGGGAGTGGTGGCCTACCAGTAGGTGACAGTACCGGGGTGTCGCCGTCCCAAGTATGTGTGGACAGATAGACTTTCTTCCTTTTCCAAATTGTTCACCATAGATTGTGTAAATGGGAGCCTGTACAAGTCTGATACCATGCAAGTTTAACAGCTCCGATGTCTTGTTAAGCATGTGCATCCAAGCGATGGAGGACGCCGTCTGAGCGGAAGCAAGCGAGGAAAAGTTCCTCAATAATGTAAAGTCTCTTCACAAAACCCGTATATACATGTCATACGGTCGAACCATATGAGCGATATCCACGGCGCATCATCGAACGACGTGGAATTATCAGTTTCGCTGCAAATACAGTACTTCGTAGGGACAGGATAATGACGAGGACAGCTTGCCGAGAGATACAATGGCCACCTTCGACACCTGTTGATTGGCGGAATGCGTTCTGACCATGACACTAGGCCAATATGAGTGATTCCCATATGGTGACCCTGCTGGACAATGAATGAGGATCCGGACTGCAGAGGGCAGGCTGTGATGTCCGCACAAGTATTTGGTTGTTCCAAGAACATTTTAATACGCAAACCAGGCAGCTACATTACTCATGAGTCCTGCACTGTCGTCGGAGTGAGCGCCACATCGCTAGATGAAAAAGGCTATGAAACAGTGAAAGAAAGAATCGCTCCGGCTGCATTTCAGCCGCACCAGAGACAAGAAAGGGAAACCTACACTATCAACAATACAGGTGCACCACCTCTCCCATGACCCGCACGCCCAGCAATACGCCCGCCACCCTGTCGTCTCCGCCCACTCCTTCCCGCCGCAGCCCATGCACCCGACGGACCGCCGCCCGCCGCGGCCCATCAACATCAAGCCGGTCCAGAAGCCCACCGCCACCTACGAGCTGGATGACTCCCCGCCCATCGAGTCGCACATCGTCATGCAGATGGGCGGCATCCCGTACGCAGACCTGTGCAAGGAAAAGGCCCGTGAGGCCTTCAAGGAGATGAAGAAGAACGAGCACATGGCCAAGGGCGAGTTTGACGGCATGAAGCGCCGAAAGAAGGGTGATACCTCGATGACGCCGCTTGAGAAGTACACACGCCGTCTGAAGATGAACCAGGACTCGGCCGCCGCCGCACGCTACGCGCAGAAGGTGTACGTGCACATGTTGGAAAAGCTCGTGAGGATGACTGAGGAGGAGAAGAAGGGCTTCATCCTTCAGGTGCAGCAATTGCAGCAGGAGAACGCAAAGCTCAAAGATAAGATGATGCAAATGTCGCAAATGAGACAAAGAACAAGGACGCTGAAAGCTTTGTCCAGGAACTCTGGTACACAAGTAGCATGACATGTACAGTGAAAATCACTACCGAGAATACGACTGTGCCGAATGCCCACATTCCCAGCATCTGCCCACCGGCCTGCGGAATGTCACCAAAGCCCCAGAAGCAAACAAAGAACACTACAGCTGATTGCCATATTGCTGAGAGAATCCAGCTCAAAAAGACGCGAAAGTTGTACGCCGTGTTGCTCTGCCCCTTTGAATACATTTCAGGGAAAGCAAGCGCATATTCGGCAGTCAATTCCTGATCGAATATACCGAAGACAATGAGAGGAAGCGATGCCAAAAGCAAATTGTAAAGACCCCCCATCCAGGGATCCAAGAGAGGCTGACCTGAAAATGCTGAAAAGAATGCCCAATAGGTCTCACAAAGAGTCAGCGCCGCATTTCGGTATATTGTGAACAAGACCATTTTTGAGAGCCGTTTGTAGCTCCATCTGCCATGGACTAGCATTAGACGCCCCAAGAAACGAAACTGACCAATACAGTAGTCTGAGGCCAGTTTGGCCTCTTGCCCTTCCAAGCTCACAATTCCCATCCCCACATGGGCCGCTTGAATCATACCGACATCATTAGCGCCGTCTCCAATAGCCAAAGTAACTTTGTCCTTGTCAAGCCGGCGGACCAGCTCGACAATCTCAGTCTTTTGCTTCGGACTCACACGGCAAGCGATGACTGATCGAGCCATGTTTGTCACTACCATTAACCGTTTCTGGAGTTCCTCTTCGAGAGCGTAATGCAATGTTTGTCCGTCAATGACCAGGTCAAGCTTTCGTTACATTGCTGGATCTGTACGCATGGTGCTCCACCTGCCAAGGGCCCGGTCAAGCTGCGCAGCTGTATCTTCGAGATTGTCCTCATTGATGATCACGAAATCCATGCCTTCGTCAATGGCGCCGCATGACAACCCAATATTAATGGCTGTCTCTTGTTTGTCCCCGGTTAGTACCTATACCTTGATGCTGGCTTGTTCCAGCTTCTTTAAAGTCTCTGGAACACCATCTTGGAGTTTGTCTTCGATAGCAGTCGCACCCAGCAAGGTAAGATCACGTTCGAATTCGTCAACAACTGCAGCAACTTTTTCTTCACGATCGATTAACTCGGAATTCGCGTGCCGATATCTTCGATGCCAATCTTGAAACCCATCGTCATCAAGATCTGCATAGGCAAGACAAAGAGTGCGCAATCCTTCCACTGCGAACTCATGAAGATGCTGCTCAGTGACATCGGGTGACTGCCCTTCAGACAGTCTCGCAAAAATGATGGCGTCTGCGCCCTTTGTGTAGATCCTTAGCTTGCCATCCAGATCTCGAGTTATCACGCTCATCCTCTTTCTCGTGGAATCAAACTCGATTGTTTCCACTAAATCATGTGTCTCACTTCGTCCGAATACATCAATAACTGTATCACGATTAGACCTTGATAAATAAGTGAAGCCTAGAATACGTGCTGCATTCACTAGTGCCGCCTCGTCAGGATATGACGCTTGATAACTGATCACTCCCGAATTGTTGTTCGACCCATTCAGAGAACTTAAATTTCGCTGATTCTCATCTGCTGCGCTAGCCCTTGCCATCGTTGAAACCGATACAAGAGAGAAGAACTGGCGCGCCCTGTTTCGATTCCCTCCTCGCGACAGTAGCAACTCGTTCGGCAACGCGGTCCTTCCCTGCTTCCTCCGCCTGGCCGACCCTTCTCTCCCTCTCTTCCAACTTGCGCACCCACGCATGTAGCCTCCCCTGCTCGACGCCCGAGTACTTCAAGCTGGCGAAGAAGGAGCGGGAGGGGCGGGGGATGAACAAGAGCAGCTTGAGGGCTTCTTGGAATTGACAGGGACTTTAACTAGCTCCCTCACTTCAGCCACGCGCAAATTCTTTGCTTCATCTCCGCCAAGGAGACGAAGCACATCTTCGCTTAATGCGAACGGATAACTTGAAGCGCTATCATGGACAATACCACGGTTGCAGTCCAGCGCAACGCAATGATCTACAATTCCGTGTTCTACTATTCGGACTATCCACACGCCTTGATTATGGTGCGCAAGCCACTTGAACGGATTTGCATCGAACGCCTTCTTCAAAGCTTTAGGAACTCGGCGCACTGATAGTTGAGCGGGAATTTGGTGAACCAGAGAAAAGAGTTGCTTGAGTGTTTTGATCTTCATCGGATGCTTCCGAAGGTACTTGTCGACGCTTGTTCCTCCTGTGGTACCATAAAGCGCACAAGTGCCGTTGGACAGCGCATCCGACACGCATGAATCGTCGTTGCTGCGCACGAGGTTCGGGCCATACTGGTGCACCTCAAACCTTCTTGATCCAGTGATTTGTCCGCGTGCCCCAATACCACCGATGAGTATCGGTACACCGCGATGGGCCATCATCCACGCATACAGTCGACGGAACATCTCTTGCAAAAACTTTTTCTTGCGCGGCAAGTCGTTGGTATTATCATCTATCGCGTTTCATAGAGCCTGCATCGTGTGAAGGGATAGTGTAATCGAATTGGCATCGATAGGCCAGAAACTTTCGTCACCGCCTGTCAATCCGGCGGCAGCGTACAAAACGCCGTCTTGCATTTTGTGGCCGCTTGCCCCTTGTCGGCCATCACCAATCATCACCCTGTCAATCGCCCAGCTCATGGTGTCCAAGAGTACTAGGAATGTTGCACCTCCCCGGAGATCTGCACAAACTTCCGTTCTTAATGGACACGCGTGAAATGGGCGCCGGGCTCTTTGGTGCGGGTTCCGGGTCACTTGGAGACGCGGCCGCGGTGCACCGTGCTAGAGGCAGGGTGAGCAAGGCGATGAAGAAGACGGGTGAGAGCATTGCGGCGAGATGTGCAGGGGGGGAGCTGGGGAACGTAGACGCCGAAAAATGGCTCGTTCAGAAGGCAGAACGTACGCCGCGTGACCGCGCGTCACCGTATGCCACTGTGGTGGGCACTGGGCGGCCTCTATAGCCACACTATATTGTTTCAGTTTTGAGAGCGCTTTATCCAGCGCGAAACCGTGCGTTGGCGTGCTTTTATAGGGGTGACATTAAAACAATCATGCATTTCTAGGGCGACTTTTCTAACATTTAGGTCTCTGCCGAAATGCCACGATGGTATACGTTTTTATGGGGTGACATCCCCGAATATGAGTTTGTCGGAGATGACTTTACGATTGTTTTTCTGTCACCCTAGAAAACGTGCATGGTCACCCCCTGAAAAGGACACCATGGACCAAAATCACCCTACTAGCAAAGCACTTTTTAGTAGTGTCGCCCTATAAAAAACCCCACCACATTGAAATCGCCCCACGTAGATTTCACTTTGGCCGGGTGTCGCCCCAAAATCTACACTTTGACCCTTTCAATTTTTGGTTTGATTTTTTTGGCGGGAGTTCATTTTGTGTTAATTTTTCAGGCGGGTGCCGCTGCCCCGGCCATACCAAAGGCGGGCGGTACAGTATGAAGGGCGCCCGCGCGTTCTCTTAGCGGCGCTACCGACCGCCAACGTAACCCCGGGAGGCAGACTCCCAAGACGCTATGGCTCGTTCGACGAGGGAGTTTTCGCCCTCGTGGCGGTTTCACGAGGAATACTTTTCCTAGTCGCTCGGCGAGGTAGCCCCTTACCCTCATGGCGTGCTCGTCCCTCCCCTGGAGGAGAACTCTATGTACTCGGTTCGCGTGGTTCTTTTTCGCCGGCTGGCGTGTCCACCCCCCCATCGGGGAGGGAAAAATTATCTCGCTCGTATGTCGAGGTCAGTGTCCGCCTCTTGGCGTGTATCCCCCACCACAAGAGTGGGATAATTTATTTCACTCGGTTATCGAGGTCATTCTCCGCCTCGCAGCGGATTCGTCCCCCTCGCGGGGGTAGGAGAAATTCTATACTCTGTAAAGGAGGGTACTCCCGCTCAAGAAACGTGTCGTTCCCTCAACTCGAGGGACAAATTATATACTCGGTTAACGAGGGTAATCTCGCTCAAGAAGCGTGTCGGTCTCTCATCTCGAGGGATAAATTCTATACTCTGCTGACGAGGATACTCGCGCTCAAGCAGCGTGTCGGTCCCTCCTCTCGAGGGTTGGGATAATTTGCATCGCTCGTTTATCGAGGTAATATACCGCCTCGTGGCGTGTCAATCCCCTCCTTCCTAGGGGTGGGATAATGTGTACCGCTCGTTTATCGAGGTCATGTACCGCCTCCTGGCGTGTCCATCCCCCCTTCCCAGGGGTGGGACAATTTATATCGCTCGTTTATCGAGGCCCTCCTCCGACTCGTGGCGTGTCAATCCCCCTTTACAGAGGCGAGATAATTTCTATCGCTCGTTTAACGAGATCACTTTCGCCTTCAGGCGTGGATATCCCCTCTAATAGGTGGGCGGAGAAACTTCCAGCTCGCATGACGAGGACTCCCCGCTCTTTACAACGCGGTCTGTGCCTTCCTTCGGTACTACGGGTATAGGTTCTCCTCGTTTAACGAGGTCGTCCCCGCTTTATAGCGTGTTCAGTACCCTCGCTTTGGCAGGGGAAACTTGTCGCTCGTCCAATGAGGACCTTCTTACAGACCCCAAGACGGGGTCACTTACTTCCCCCCGGTGGAGGGGAAGGCCTCTACTCGATGGGCGAGTTGTCCTTTGCCGTAAAGCGTGATAGCTCCCCTCACTTCAGAACGGGGGCCCTTTACAAGTTTGAAGAGGCGCCTTCGGCTCTTGGCAGGGCCGGCCTCCCACCACTTGCGGCTATTACCAGTGTCCGCTCCAGGCGAGGTCACGCTAGGCCTTCGATCCTTCGCAGTCCGACCCCCTCCGCCTCAGAAGTGGGACGTTGTCGCTTCATGGATTGACGAGCACGGTGTGCCAGGCGACGCCCCCGTCCCCTTTTTTGTTTCTTCGGCAAGAGGGTAGTGTAGAACTCTGTCCACCGTCCGACGAGGCGGGTCGCCACGCGACGGCGTTTTCGGGTCGCCTATTCTACGCAGGTCAAAAGGAGGAACCAAGGGTTCAGTTTATTCTTCATCTACCAAGTGAGGTAGATCAGTGGGCGACCCTACTGGGCGGCTGCGACCTCGTACTTAAAGGACCCCGTCCTCCTCCAAATCGGAGACATCCTCTTCCGGCACTGCGCCTTCCGCGCCGGCCGCCTTCTCTCCCGACACCTCCGTCGGTCCTTCCGCAGCTGTTACAGTGACCGTCCCTTCGCGCCCCGCGGGTCGAGCAGAACCCCCCGCTCCCGCCTCGCGTTCTCCCTCGAGCGGGGGGTTGCACAGAAGCAAGCGCAACTCAGCGTCCGACATCGCAGTCGGGTCGCGGCTCTCAACCCCCTTCACTGACGAGCCTCGGGGTTTTTCTCCCGCCGTCCATTCTCGCGTCTCCGCACGCGTACCACTCCGGGTTCTTCCCTCGAGACATACTTGCGTCTCCGAATGCTAACCCCGAATGTGCGGCAGGATGGCGGAACAGAGACGGCAACCACCCCGGTGACAAGATGCACGGGTATTATCGATCGCGGGGACGCTCTATTTTAAGAGGGGGGCTATGTAGTGCACTGACACACCTCATCTTTTGGTCGGTACACCTGTCCCCGGCCAGCGCGACTCCTTCTCCGGGGCACACGTGTACCTCACGCCACGTGTAACCGGGCATCAAGGCCCCTGTGTCCAGGTGTCATTCCCCACGTGTAATGGTTGTCATACCACCCCAAGAGGAGTTTCTCCGGCCGTCGCCGCCGTCGTTTTAATTTAGTATTTTGTAGTTTAATTAATTATAGCTCCGACGTCGGCTAGTATATAGCCGACGTCCGTCCCTAAGTAAATTCTCATGAAGCTTGGGGTCTACAACTCGGGTTTCTGGAACGGAGTCGTAGCCTCGCGTGGGTCCCCGTCCTACGACGGTACCCTGCGAGCCATCTGCGTCCCGATTGCCACCTATCTCTACCGCGCGCGTCGTCCCGCTACACTCGGCTCTCCGCGCGACAGCTGTCCCTACCGCTGTGCTGCTCCTGGGCTCTGCTTTTCTACTTTTGTCCTTACTTTCCCTACTGCGTTAGACGTCCGGACCCCGTGCCGGTTACCCCACGGGTGGTCTCTCAAATCATCCCCGGCGCCCCCGAACGCGCGGTGCTCTGAGTGAGGGGGATTCCCAATCCTCCCCCTCAGTGCACGACAAAATGCTTGAACGGAGAATAACCGACGGGGATGAGTTCTTTCCTGTTTCGGTCGAACATCTTTATAGCGTCAACCAATTCGTTGTACGTGGTTGGGCTGCGGAACATGACGAACTGAATCAACGCGGGATGACCTTGAATGGACTTGCGGAGAAGTCCCAGCTTAGCAGAATCGTTGAATTCGGCTGCAGAGTACAAACACTCCGCCCTCTTCACGAACAAAATCACATCATCATCTTGAAGCCTGAGGTCGATGGCCGACCGGATTGCCACCTCAGGATCTTCTTGTGGTTGAAACTTGTCGAAGAAGGCTTTCTTGACTGCGGAGTAGTTCATGGCCTCTGCTGTGAGGGTGTCATCAGCGGAGAATCGGCTGTGGAAGAAGTCGAAAGCCGGGCCATCAAGGAACGGAAGCAACTCCTCAGCCTTCTCCTTGTCGTCCTTTTCTTTCATTAAAACGTTGTCAAAGTAGAAGAAGAGCTTCTTGACGTCGAAGGAATCGTCAGAGGCTCCTGAGAACGAGAGAGAGAGACCGGCCCACGGCGGGCGGGGCCCCTCGACAGAAATACCTTGTAAAACGAGTTTTTGGTTGAGTTTTGCCCGGGATGGGCGGTCTGTTTATAGGGTGTGTTTGTGTGTGTGTGTGTCGCTACCTCGTCGGGTGAGTGTAGGTGCGGCTTTTATAGAGCTGCGCCGACATCGAACCTCTGACTCGGTTAGCCGTGTAACCCGAGTGTAATAATCAAACGGTATCCCTGGCCAATAGATGGCAGCGGAAAAGACACAAAAATACCTAAAAATCATTTGATAAAGTACTTACAGTAATGCATGCAGCAAGTAGCCAGGGCGAATGGGCGGTTGTTACGGTCAAACCGTAAAGTCCTGAAATCGAATCATTTCCAATTCGGTACTGCACTGTTAAGGATTTGCCATTGATGCTCATATTGGAGAGATTATGCAAACAGAATTCTGCAATACGTATTACACGTATCAAATCTATTGCAGAATTCTCTAATCGGTCGTGACGATAATTGCAGAAATGTGCCATTCTTGTCACAACCTTTTCTGCAATTGCCAAGCCGTGAGAAATACACGTGCACTGCGTGGGCAATACGTGTACCACTTTTGGCGGGAACTGTATATATGTGTTCTTCTCAATGGTTCGTCCCCTACGACCTTCCGCCGCATTGCGCATCCTCAGCGATTTGGTTTTCAGCACCATGGCGGAGGTCATCCATGATGTGGAGGAAGGGGAGGCTGTCGGTACTCAGTCTCCGGAGCTGACGGACTCGGAGGAGACAATCGACATTACAAGCGGGTCGAAGACGCGTGCGGCGGGGCGCAAAGCGAAGTACACGAGCGAGGACGATCTCGTCATCGTTAAGGAGGTGTGTGCAGCAGGCGCGCATGTAGCGCCGTACGGTGCCGCGCGCAAAAGCTTCGAAAAGGCGGCGTGCTGCGCCAACAAAACTGGCGCGCTGTCGTGTGTCGTGTCTGGCAAGAGCATACGAGACAGGTACCGGAAGCTCCAAGAAACATACGATAAAAAGGACAAACGCGAGCGGGCGGCGTCCGGACTTAGTGGAGGTCTGGACGAGCTTGATGGCATCCTTGCAAGTATGAATGAGGCGCGTGGCGACGCCCACGCGAAGAAGAGCGCCGAAAAGTTGGCGAAAGAGGGGAGCGAGGAGAAGAAGGAGGAATGTGGGAGAAGGCTGGTGCAGATGGCGATGAACCGCCGGGCTGCTCTCGATGAAGGCGGCGCAAGCGATGCCGACGCCGATGTCGACGTCGGCGCCGATGCGGAGGCCCCTGTCTCGACGAAAAGGCGCAAGATTGCACCTTCCGGAGGTGATGACCTATGCGCGTTTGCGGCGACGAAACGCAGTGCGGACATCGCACGCGTTGAGATTGAGCGCGAGCGCCTAGAGCTCGAGCGTGACCGCCTGAAGGAGGATAAGGTTGAGCGCGAGCGCGAGCGCGAAGACGGTCGTGAGGACCGCGAAGCACACAGCAGCCTTGAGCTCGAGAAGTTCAAGCTCATGATGGAGATGCTCTCCTCCAAGAAGTAGCCTTGTTGTATTATTTATGGCTTTAGGCTGTTGCTAAGCGCTAAAATAAAGTGCAACCCTAGAGAGAGAGGGAAACAATGAGGCACACTTGCCTCCCAATCTCACACACTTCACGCCTTTCTATTTGGAGCATTGGAGCATGGAGTACTATTTATCCTTTGTGCGAGACGTACTCTTCAAGGGACGGGGGCAGACAGTTGAAATACTGCGAAATCGGGTTCGGACGTACGCAGTTCCGAAAGTTCGTCAGAAGCATGCTCGCAAGATACATGGAGCCCACAGCCGCCTCACGAACCCTCAGCTTCCTTTTAAAGTCCACTGCGGTCCAGTACTGCTTGACCTCCTTGAACAGCCACTCCACCGAGACCCTTGACAGCGCCATAGCCTTATTGAAGGCCCTCTGGTTGTCGCTCAGATGCGAGCCCTGAAACGGCACCTCCATGATCGCCCGTTCGTTGTACCCGGCGTCGCCGTACAGGCAATACTGGTGCCCATCGACAGACAGAAGCTGCTCCAGTGACTCATCGAGGCCACTTCTACTGTACATCGTCCAATCGTGGCGACGCCCCTCCATGGGGCTATAGGCATGCAAAATAAGCCCACATGGGCTCGTAACCGCTTGAAATTTCAGCCCGTGTTTGCGCCTGTGCCCATTGTAGGCACCTTGTTGAAGAGAGACGTCGCCACTGGGTCGCGCGATCGCAATCACCGTCCCGTCGATGAAGCCCACAAAATTATCGAGCGCATGGCTCTTATCACTCACCGCTGCCGCCCAAGCTGGGGCTTTGGCTTCAATGAGCTTTGCGCTCATGTCCTCAGTAATGAGGTGCATACGGGCGTCTAGGAAGAACTGCAAGCCCTCCCAGAATATTTCCGAGAGCTGCAACGCGTGCTTTCCAAACAACAACTCCGCATCTGTCCAGCGAGCAGGGCTTGCCAGCCTACGAAAAACGACGCATGTCGCTAAAAGCGGGGAAACCGCATAACGGTTTCTTTTTGTCTTGGTCACCTGGATCGGCCACGGAAAAATAGACGTCAAGCGATGCACGGCCTCTTTCCGAACCCGAAAAAGGGATAGGCACGAGGCGCCCGGCAGAGAACCAAAAAGGACATGGAATTCAGTGAGCGAAATCGAGAGGGTGCGGCGTGCGTAGCGAGAGCGCTCCCTCTTGTGCTGCGCTTAGCGTTGCGCGATGTTGAGAAGCGCACTTGACGAGGCCAGAGCCGAGCCTCGATCTGTACTCCGCTTGTGCACGGCGGCAGTCAACACCGCACGCGACATAGTCGGGCGCCGCGCGGCCACGCGCGAAGTGTGATCTCGCAATCGACCGCTCATGGCTTGTGTCGCTGCCTAAAACCTGCGTCCCTTGACCGAGAAGGTGATCCTGTGCTCAGGAGTGCATACCGTTTCGCTTTGGCGGCTGCATACTGTTTCGAAATTGCCTCTATACTATTACTCATGGCTATTGCAGAATTCTAGATTGTTCGGTGTGGCGTAAACTACAATTCTGCAATTCAATTAAACAATTCTGCAATCGAGAATTCTGCAATGGGCTTACACTTCTTCGTCACTTCTTCGTCATAACTATTGCAGAATTCTCCTAGCGTAAACCTTAAATTGAGATCGTGTGGTGGTACGGGCGCTGGTCGACAAACACAGTGAATGAGTACAATGTACTCCCGAAGCACCGCTTCGGACTTATCCCTTTTTCCCCTCACTCACTAGCTTACCCCTCTCTACTCGTGAGGTACTACTTCTCTCTTATATAGTCAGCATCCCGCTACTCTCCAGCATCCTGCTGGTCGGTCTGACCGCACAGGACAGACTGTCATTAGAGAGGAGTATATACACCTAGAGACGACGACGAGTAAAGGAAGGGGCTATCGGACCCCGTGATCACACATGGTCCCCCAGCATCCCGCTGATTCTCCAGCGTCCCGCTAGTTGGTTCTCTCCCCGCGACCGTAGCATTCCGCACTCTACGCGTCTGCGCCCGTTTCCTTTCTGATATTCCCGTAGGTCGAGCTTACACTTATCTACGATTCAACCACTCGACCTTTCCCCTCTTTCCCAGAGGTCGCAATGTAAACGCAAACTGCTCAGGCAGATATACATGCCACTGCGTGTATTTAATTACCAGCACTCAACAGCCTGTCCTGATTTTGCCACAACTGTACCTCGCAGATTCACAATCTCCTTTGCATGCACCACCCATTGGCCTACAACTATATCTTCCAACTTCGCATCCAATCACCGCCTTCCAGATGCAAGCGCCGTGATAGTGCCTCAATACAATTGTAAAAAACAACTTGCAGATAGCGATTCCCGGGCCTGGATCCCGTGCTCCGGAAAGAGCTACTCGAGTAGGATTTACCTTTCCCACCCCTCCGTACGTGGCCTTGCTCCTTCCGGCATCCCCTCCAACCCCGATTTTCCGCTTCCCAGAGCCCCAGATGACGCCCCCCCTCACCAAAGGCACCACAATCTCCGTCCGCTTCTCCGCGGTAGTCGACGGCGACACAATTCGCGTCTACCTTCCCAGTAACCCCAAGGCCGAATCCATTCGCCTCCTCAACATCGACACTGAAGAGTCCGTCTCCTTCTCTTCCAAGCCCAAAACTCCCTGGGGTTTAAAGGCCAAATCCTTTGCCTACTCTTTCTTCAAAGGCACGGAAAACGTTGAGCTCGAGTTCCTTGGTACGGAATCCGTCGACGTCGCCCTCGAAAAGCATCGCGGTCTGTTCGGCCGCGTCCTTGCGTATGTTTACAAGGATGGCATCGATTTTCAGTACGTCATGACCCGCAAGGGATACACACCCTATTTTAATAAGTACGGAAACGCTACCTTTGCCTCTCATCACGCGCGTTATGTCGCTGCCGAGCACCAGGCCCAGATTGAAGCCATTGGCGTCTGAGATCAGGTCGGGGTCAATGGCTACGTAGCTCGTGATTATCCGTCTCTCAAGGCTTGGTGGGACCTCTGCGCTAGCCGCATCGACCAATACCGCCGCCTGAAAGCGACGGATAAGACCGTGTATAACACGCATCTGGATTACGAAAAGCTCTCCGAGCTCGCTCAGAAGGGCTCGACGGCTACCGTATTTACTGAAGCTTCATATGTTCGGAGATCTTCCGGCTCCGTCGGTCTCGTTGATATTGGCTCCAAGGAACGCCCATTTGGCCTCAAGATCCCCGACATGGATTGCGACGCAGGCAGAAGCGTACTCGTCTTGCTCAAGTCACGGTACGTCGGGTCTGCGTCCAGGCCCACTGCGGGCTATTGCTACGCGACAGGAAGGCTAGAAATGTTCTCCGGAAGCCCGCACATGGAGATTCTCAACCCTGCTGCCGTCACTGACTCACTCGGCACGCGCGCCGAAGTCACGGGGCCTCTACCGCCCATACCGCCGAGGGAAGAGAATACAGCTGAAGACGCCGTAATAACACCCGTGCCGGAGGAGGCATTGGCCCAGGGCGATGAGCCTGTGCAGGCGCAGGGGGTCGATCTGGTCATCGCAGCATGCTTACCAAACCCGAGCGGCACGGATAGGGGGAACGAAACTGTGACGCTGCGTAACCGGGGGATGAGCGAAGCCAACTTGGAAGGATGGATTTTGAGGGATCGGGTTGGACAGACGGAGCGATTGAGCGGAAGGATAAGTGCCAGCGCGGATTTGGCGGTGCATTAGAAGGCAGGTGGGGTGAGATTGAATAATCTTGGGGACGACGTGATGCTCTTTAATAGGGAAGGGTTTTTGGTGAATTCCGTATCATACGGGGAGAGTGATGCGGCAGAGGGACGGACCGTTGAGTTTGTGTAAATGTGAAAGGGACGAGAAGCCCAGCGGTGGGCCTATCCTGGGGGACGCGGAGATATCGGGCATTCGGAAATCTGCTTCATTCTTGGATGGTTGTGGGTTGTGTTTGTGTTGCAATTCCAACGAAGAAGGGTGGGAGGACAGGGAGTTGGTTCTCGTCACGAATTAATCTTACGAAGATATTTGTATTGGCACTGCCGGATAGCGGCAAAATCAATGTTGCGAGGCTTTGGAGATGGTGATTGTATCAAAAAGAGTACGTGAGCGGTACGAGGCCCGTTCCTTGGAGTGATGGACATCTGTTCTGATCTACATAGCATTTCATTTTCCTTGATGGCGGTTTTCATCGCTACTGTACACAGGGCCCCCCTCCCCATTCTGCTCCCCCTCCACGGCATTGAAGGTGGCCCCTTGGACAATTTTGTGACGAGTTGTATGCCCCATATGTTTTTTGAAGCACCGATAGCGGCAGCCGTTAAGTAGGGGGCGTCTTCAGGCCGATGGCGAGCAATTACAGGAAAGGCTATCCATGTTTGCGACTGATGCCTTTATGTTTTCGTGTGCAGAAATGGCATCTATCTTTGAAGACAACAGTGTTCGCAAAGATGCAGCTTTCGCGGATGAAGATGGAATTTCTTACGGTCATATTGCACCATAATCATATGCAATGCATCGACCTGAGACAAGTATCCAGCGATGTCGTTCATGAACTTTTGAGTACAGTTGAGAAGCTGCAGTACAAATTCGCTCAGCCCAGATAGCGAAAAGAGCCCCTACAAGAAGGTCGACAAATCCATACGGCTTTAACAACGTCCCGGCAAAACACATGACGCCACATACCTCTGACCCTCTATTGAGACGGTGTAGTGCACGGTACCGGTTGACGTTCGTCCTTGTCGACAAGCTCAATATGACACAGGGGCAGAGCAGTTACGGGTTGTCTTTCGGGAAATGTAGTAGCCAATGAGGACAGGCGAAATCGAAACAAAACGGGTTTACGCAAAAGCGAGAGTCATGATTAGGACAGAACACGGAATCACTCGTCATAGAAGACAGAACACGAGGTCATGATACATCCTTCTTCTGAGGGCAACTGCTTGCATCTCGGAATGAACTGCATCTCAGGGATGACAATGCAGTGCCTGCAGATTATACGAAGCAGAAAAGTCGCATGCGAAACCGTGACGGTTAAATGATAAATGGTATGACCTCAGAATGAACAAAAACCAGCGAAAAGTAGGTTAAAAAGTAGACAAAGTGTCTGCTGTTTGTTTCCGAGGGTGTGAGATGTGAGATACCATGAAGAGCAAGACACAATACAAAGACCTGCGTCCGAAAAGGACGTCGTCGAGCTTGAATTTGCCGTCAATGCAAGACTAGGATTTTGAGGTGGATGATAGAGACACCCACCGCCTGTCGATTGATTTTCACTGGGGTGAAAAATCAACGAAATTTCTCTGTATAAGTTTTCTAAACGTGCGCTTTCATCCGCAACTCGTTCGTACAAACACGTCATCCCGTGAGATCAGGTCAGGCAAAAAGACTGTCACACTTCTGCGGGGAGAGCCGGTAGGAGTTTCGATGAAGCAACTGAGCAGAACACAAACTCCCTTGGGCTTGCGGATACTTGAATGTTCTTTGCTTAATATCCGCTATTCGGCTTCATTCACTGAATGCATCGCGTTTCCAATATGGCTTTGGAAGAGTCTGCTTCCAAAGAGGTGAGTTGTTTAAAACAAAATTTCTATTGTCTGCAAGAATTTCAATGGAAGCGCTAAGATCTATAGGAGGTGATACTGCTGAAGTCTTCTTCAGACATGAAAATGCTACACTGCAGTAGTCAGGCATAGGGTGATCCAATATTCATGAGTGTCACTTATTTTAGATCAGAACAATATTATTCACATCCATGTAGATCTTTGCCTGATCAGATATAACATTGAACGTTTCCTGCATTTGCTTTGCACTCTTCTTTCGTTTAAATTTTCACTTTAAACATGGTGTAGCAGGGTGATAATTACTGGTACGGATGAAGAACCAAAATACTCCTTCTGAATGAAAATGTGTAGTTGCTCACAATGTCACTTTGATCCACAGGAAAACTGCACTTCTTTCTTCTGAATTTGGAACCATTTTCCGGACGTGCTTCAATGTTTGAAGCAGTATAGAGCCCATCATATTTTCTATGTCGCTCTCTCTGCGATGCAAGGAAGAGTTTACTCACTGATATCTGTTCGGCGAGCTAACAAAACATGGCGTGTTTATACAGTGGCACTTTTATGAAAGGATCAGCATGATCTGGATATTATCGAAGAAACCATCTACAAGTGATACGTGATTCTGCAATTGCAGCAGAGATGTTGACAGGGTCATTGACAACAACAGCCCAAATGGCAGAGAACTAAAATTGTAGTTTCGTTGTGAGCAAGTGTCTTTTCAAAGAATGAATCCGAACGGGTCAAGCGATTGAAACTCTGATGCATCGTAAGCTCATGGCAGGATACTTAGAGTCACTATCCTTTGGTTGCTCCTTTTTTTTATTTCGATAAAGCGTGACAGGTTGGGTTTCTTTCCACCGAAAAAAACCATCGAACTTCACAGAGCAGACCATCAACCTTAGATTATTTCCGCATGTGAACAATTCAGAGGGCTGATGAGAGCGGGGAGCAGTTGATGTCGCATTGGTGAGTTGTGACCTGTTATTCATCCCGGCTTCCATCGCCTTCTGTTGGAGCCCACTGGAACAATGGATGAATGAAACTGTAAGGTACGATGTAATCGTAACCTCATACGTATGAGGCAATTTTGCATTTCGATTCGCGAGACTCTGGCTAGGTACATGTACTTGCCTAGAATTATTATGCCAGATATGAATGTCAGCAGTAATCCGAAATGACAGCTCATTGCATCTTCTGCGACGCAGTAGAGGGGTCAGTATTCTGTTCTGTAATGGCGTTCGAGATAGACAGAACAGGCGAAGCTCTCATTTCAGGTACTCGTTTACATGCTGTAGCTTCGGAATGACGATGGCCTTTCTTTCTCACGAAGAGATGTTGAATTGTGTTCTGCTTTCTGCTTTTTGGTATTGCTCTGACGACCGCAGCTCTTATTCTTGGAAAGGGGCTTCCTCCCCGTCTTCCATCGCACGGCCTTGAGCCGCTGGATTGCCTTAGTAACGGCGAGGAGACAGTAGCAAACAGAAGAGCACACCCACCATCAGGCACATGATGAGCCAGGGAGCAGCCATAAAGAACGTTCTTTAGGAATGTATCCCGAGCGCAGTCGAATACCATCAGGCTGAGGACAGAAATGTGTCTATGCTTGCAACTGATGTACCGTAGCAAGAGATGGAAGGTTACGCGTTGTGTGATGTTCAGCGTTGGTTACATGACATATCCACTTGTTGCCGTGCTACATGTCACTCCGCACAGCAAAGTGAGCTCTGGTTACATGCAGAAAGGAAAAATAGGATTGCGCCATTTCTTTTGCAACACAGTTCTGTGATGTAAAGGTCAACATGCCTGGCTCTCGTGTTCGGTAACATGTTTGCGTTTGGTTTATCAAAAAGGCGTTCACCACGGAACAATTGCTGACGGAAACTAAACAGTTACTTGGGAACCGAGCAGGGGTTTCGGAAGTAACCTTCGACAAATTGTGGTGGAATAGCTCACAGACAATGTGCATATTTTTCATTTCCGATCCTTCCGTGCTCTGGTCATTGAGGTATCCCATCGTTGCCCCAGTTCATCTCGCATACAGTAACAGGTGCACTTTGGTATGTCACATGAGACATTGCACAGCACCCTACATCTCATCGAGGGGTAGAGTGTTTAGTCGGAGGGTTTTTTTGAAAAATTCAAGTATATCATGATATGTAGTACTGTAGTAGCTCTCACCCACCGTGACTGGTTGAGAGCAAGGGGTTCAATTGGACAGTGGTGGTCCCGACTTGGGGGGGAGGAGATCTTCTGAAGGTTTTGTGGTTGTGATACCCTGTTTAACTCTTCACGGGCCGTGCGCCATGAATTGACGAGTGGTTCGCCATTGGGATCGAGGCAAGTAGGATGGGGGAGTGTATTCCACCATGATAATCGTGAATGGCTGGGCTAGAAGGGATTTGGTGTGAGCGGCAGAAAGCGATCTTGGTCTGACACTGAGGTTAGTTCTGTAAGGGGATTGTTCTCTTCGTGCGAGTTTTTCGAGCATCGTTGATGAGCGAAGCGTGAAGCGCATTTATGATGATGATGCAGTACGATGTTCAGCATGGTTGAAGGGTTTTGATTGGGGGTACGTTGGGTGGAATACTGGGCAGATTGGATTTGCGACAATAAAATCTGACAACAGGGGCTGGTTGGTTGGAAACCGACTGCCAGAATGGACACATAGACCACCAAATTCATTTCGGTTACAGAGTGCCAGCACCCCTCTGAAACCCCCCCCCCCCCCCCCCCCCCCGTCCGACACACACCCCTGCAATAATTTACTGCAGAAACACAAAAGAATGGCCATCCCGCTTTTTCGAGACGCATCTTACAGGTATCTGTACAGCGACGCGATCTAAAAAGGCCACAGCCTACCCTGGGCCTAGGACTAGCATACGTACAAATTGTACGGTATAAACCTGTCTCCCCACTCGTTTTCCACCTTTCGAGAGCTGGGACTGCAATATTAGGGCTGCAACGGGTGGCGCGCCACTCGTATACCGAAACATAACCCGCCTGAATTCCGCTGACACGGGTTGCGTTCTGCTCGTAGATTACGCACGATTGCCTCATTCGTTCGCAGGCGTGACCGTGGGGGGAGGGGGTACTGTACGCATCTATCCCCCGTTCGCTCGTTGCTCAGAACGGTAGCAATAACCTACAGTACTTGTACTATCAAGACCCTTCGTCTTGAACGAGTCCGGGGCATGCCGCCGACTCTTGAAACGGCAAGCGGAGTGGAGCCAGCTACGGTGCAGTGAGCATTTGTTCTAGGCGTGACGGGGCAGTACGACCGCATTACAGGCGTAAAGGTCAAATCTAATCTAGTGACGCGCAGATAGTTGCTCGTATCATACGAGTCATGTCGAGTAGCCCAATCTTCACAGAGGTTGAATGGTACAAGTACAGTACCGTTACTGTACACAACGTGATTATTTGAGTTCATTTGGGTTCCGGTTGCAAAAGGGGAAGCTTCTTTTTCTTTTGAGCTACAGAGAGATTCTCATTATGTGTGTACATTCATTCTTCATGGAATTAACACCTTTGCACTACACACTATGACGCTTTCTTTTTGGAGGAGATGGCATGTGTTGCGTGACGGACAGATGAGGGCGCAGGGAATTTGGGCTTGCTGGAAAAACATCCTTGTGGAGGGACCGCATCTTCCGAGTGTACAGTACGCTAATCTTATGTCTCATCTCGCCGTTGCCCCCGACACGCAGGAAGGAAAACCATGGCCTCGAGGATGTGCGATGTATTAATGAAGACCTTCCTTTTCGAGACGCCCGGGGAGAAGAGGATGCTCCGATTTTCCCAAACCACACGAGACACGCCCAGTACAGCAAGTACTGTATGCCGGCGGCTCCGACTAACCTGAACCTCCCTGGCAGGTGTCGCCGTTTGCATGCCGTACTTGTAATCAACAAGCGCACTCTCAGACTCAGCTCAGACGACTCGTTCTCCACTCGTTCTCTGCTGTAAGACCCAATACAGGAAGAGTAACAGAATATTTTTTGAAGGTGCCAAGGTCTTGAGGCTGCTTTTAGTGTACCCGGTCATCTACACGTATAGAACAGCGCACTTCCCCTACAAAAGAGGCCTCATAGGAATGCCCCCTCATATCTTGATTTATTCATGTGTTTTTGATACAGCGCGCATCCTCTCTTTCCTCCCTGACTACCCTCAAGGGTCCGAAGGGTACCCCTCAAGACCGAATTTCATTGGCCTCCCTGCAAAACCTTGATTTTCGCACCGGCGTTTCGTCGTCAAGGACCTAATGTTTGACGACAGGATGTCGCATGATTCGCGTCGTTGCTCAAGGACATGGTGATCTAGCCTTGTACAACAAGCATCCTCCCTGCACGGTGCCTGGTGAAGGCCCGCTTCTTTTTTTTTCTTTTTCTGGATGTTACTTCATAAAAAAAAACCCGGAAGCAATATCGTTTTATCAAGGATATCCCTTGCATGATACATCGCCTCCCCATCCGAATAATGATACACAATTTTATTCCGAACGACGTATTCTGCACCCCTGCTGGAAAACATGCCTACTGTATTCAGGAACTGGATAGGTATGTTTCCCTAGGAGCAAGTTGCATCGAAGAGATGGCAACTTCAAATAGAACTCGAGGTCGTTGTCGTTCTTACTCTCTCGTTTTTTTTTTTGTACTGTGGCAACGAGTCATGCCGACGGTACACGCCCGAACACGCATGTACAGTACCCTTGGTACTGTATTCCTTCCTTGCAAAATTCGGAGAGCGATTGTATGTACAGGAGGGTGCACTAAGGCCGTTTTCGACGTATCTGGTCGCGTCCTGTACGAATGGCCCAATGAGCTCCTTGACGAATCCGTTGACGAATGGAAGGAGCCCGAGGCTCCTTCCATTCGTTCGCTTTTTCCTAAAAAAGCTGAAGAACGAGCGCCCCGTTGTCACATATGACAGGGACAACGTATCGGTCCTAAATGTTTCGGGAATTTTTCTAGGTTAACTGCGTCGTGTAGCTACCCTAAACATTGTAAAGGTGTACCTACCTTTGAAGCATCACCCTAAGCATTCAAAATTACAGTATCATTTTTATGCATTCACGTCGGAGCACAGCCTATTACCAAACAATGACGACTCTTCCTTAAACGTGAAGTCGACATAACCATCATGGTCGAGGTAAGATGCTATCATGCTGAGGCCGATGACCTTCATCCAATGAAACCATGCTAAACACAACTGGGCTTCTGTTCTACAGACACAGCACTCTGCAACGCCTACGGGAGGAAGGCTCTCCCTTCTCAAGGATATCCCCTCAAACTGCGAGCCATGCGTTTAAAGGCAGGTATGCAGAGATGAAGCTCGCACACAAAAACCCTTGTCGTGGGCCAACAGAAACCCTCTCTAGATCTGTTGGTGACGGGAATGCTGCTACAGTATTAATATTTTGAACCGCCAAAGTGTTTGCAATTGTTTACGGCAAATGGTGTGCATTTAGGAACGTATTGATGTTTCCCAAATACCAACTTAATGTCTATAGACCCTTCACTGAATTTGGGTTATCCCTCGTTGCCATGGTCTCGTCTCGTGCTTCATTCATTGAACTGTCTTCGCTTAGTAACAAACAGCATATTATAGTTGCTAAAACTTCCCTGCTTGAACTCTCATTTACTGTATTTTCGGTCTTCGTGTTGTGTGTGTGTGTGTGTGTTATGTCGACTTCACTGGACAACGAACTTCTTTCCCCGTGTATTCTCAGGTGACGATAAGAGGCATGCGAGAAAATTTTCAGTGCCTTCTGGAGAATGCATCCAGGATTTCTAGGCAAGGGGTAGGAAGCAAACGTCAGCCCAAATAGCATGGTACAGCAGGGAAATAAATTATATAATCCTCCGCAATCCGAAAAATACAGCATTTATCATGACTCAATATAGTACACAGCCATGGTGTAGTCCCACAGCCTCGAGGACACTGAATTTAGATATTACTCCTGGCTCTAACGCCCTGGGTTCTTTAAAAGCCTACCACACGAAGCATCTCCGCTACTCCCCACAACATCTAAAGAGAGCGTTCTGTCGAACCTTATCACCAGAAGACTTAGTTGTGACTCGACAAATGCGAATTACGGAGCACCGCAAGGTGTGGGCGAGCGATAGTATTATGATAAGTGTGAATCGGGAAATTGAAAAATCAGCACATGCCGTTGCATTGCTGCTGTTCAAATGCCAGCACTGCCTTTTTCTTGTACAGCACAGACTATGTAAAGCATAACCAAGGGTAGCTCCTACACAGGATTTTACCTCGTAGACTGGCATTTGTGGAAACTCCTGCATAGAATTTCAGAGACATTCCTTACAGTCGGTTGCGTCTTCCGCTCCCTCTCCACTTGAGAGAACAAATTATGCAAACAGAGGTTTGTAGGAGCCAAAAGACGGGCGTTATTTTAAAAGAAACAATTCGCTGCAACCGGGTGGGGGAACAGTGTTTTTCTGACAGCCAAGATAATTAGTCGTGCAGTGCTCCTTGAAAAGCGTCGACCATACCAAGCCTAGTTGGCCCCTATAGCTGCTCCAGATGTTTGGGTTTAACTTCGTCAGACATACGAAACATATGTAACTGGAGTGGAGCCCAGCCAACGACTCCCGCTCCCTACTGCTTAATCGGAGCGTGACATCGTCAATACCAAGCAACGAGATGTCTGCTTTTGTCCCACATTCCTCGGTCGTAGGCTGCACCTTGCTGTCCCCCGTCTGTGAATTTCATATTTCCCCCCACGGACAGCACGCAAGCGATTCAACAGGTGCTATATTGCACGGCTCGCAAGGACATTCTACATGCGTTTGGCGCAAAGGATTCGGCAGCTTTCCAACGGCGGCTCGTCTAGGCTGCTGCGGCATTCCTTTTCGTACTCTATAGACTTGTTATTTACACCGGTACCCAGACAGCATCCCCACACACCATTCCACGCGTACCGTCTACTCGGGGAGGAGCACCCGCGAAATGCCGAATTCGCATGACGTGCCGGACGAAAAAGGACAGGAGAGTGGAAAATTATGGAAGGCGGCGAATCGGAAGTTGGCCGATGTTTTGTTTGTGTCAAGCGTTACTGTACATTTTACAGTATATTTTTATTGAGATTGCTGCGGGAAGCATCCATTGGGTGAATTCCAAATTTGTTTGCGAACGTTCCTTTCCAATCACATCCGGGGGATGGAAAACGGTTGGTTGGCTGTCTTGTGTCCAACGCTATCTTCCCAAAATACGAACAGTGGAGAGACGGCCTGCATACGTAACCGATTTTCTCTCCATGTCATGCTAACCCACAAGACCAAAGCTGAGTCTGACGTATCTGAACTACGTGAAGCGTATACGTGAAGCGTATTTACAGTGTCTCAAGAAAGGACGATTTTCGTCCGCTTTCATTCTCAATTGCTTGTCGACATTGAAGAAGAAAGGGGAGTACAAAAGATAAGAGTAGGCAAAGAAAGAATTGCAATTGAATGTCGGAATAATTTACATCTCAATGTTGGTATATGTCTCATCTAAAATTATTATTTTCTTGTCAAAGTTGTTGTGTTTGCGGGACTCTCTATCAAGCTAGGGTGAGTGAGTTAGCCAAAATCTAAAGTGGGCTTCTCGGTGGTGTAGCACCTTAGCCGAAGTTTTCCTCCCGGAACACGAAGCGCACACTGCAACCGGTTCCCATCAGCATCTTAATAAGCCCTCGCTGAGGCAGACCGAGGTCCTTCATCAAGGTCTTCTCCTTAGTACTCCTCAAGTAGGCACCTCTCAAGTTGCTGTTAATCTCAGCCCTGCGCATCGCTGATTGCACAGAATCGCCCATCTTGTGAGGTCCGCAGAAGAACACGCCCACTACAGAGTTGGAGGGAGCTTCGGCGGCAATCTTGCCAAAGATCTCATCCCATTCGGGGCGACCAGTGTTGGAGCTGGTGATGAATTCAGAGCCGGCTTCCATGTCGACTTCCTTAGCGCGAGTGACGTAGCGGTGGAGCTTGAGCTCAGTACCGTCGGCGAGCGGTTCGAGTTCGGAGCGTAGCCACTCGTCGTCATTCTCGTGCGGGACAGTCCAAACAAAGTCGACGTTGGGGACGATATCGCGATGCGAGCAATGGCAGGGAGCGTCAGTGAGGAGCGTCCTCTTGCCAAGGGCGCGGTACATGCGAACAGCAAGGAGGACGAAAAGCGTCGGCAGGAAGACGATGTAGTGCAGGAAGAGCACGATTTGTTCGTCAGTGCGCTCGGTGACAAGAGCCTTGATGCCAAGGCTGGCACTAGTGATGGTGAGCGGGAGGAAGACGAAGAAGTCGAGTGTGCGACCGACGGTGCGGAAGAAACGGGAGCCCATGTAGCTCAGCTCGAGGAAGATGGTGAGCGGGAGCACAATGGCGAAGATGATGCTGAGTACAGTGTCGACAATCACAATCCAGAGGCCAGACTCGATAGCGTGCGGCTCGGCGTTGATCATGATGTAGTCAGCCTTGATGATGGAGGAGATGCAAATGAAGAAGATGCGGGCAATGAGCACAAAGAGGAGCAGCAGGTTGACGCGGGAGGTATGGAGGAACTCCAGCACCTTGGAGCGGCCTTCATACAAGTGGGAGAGACGTTCACGGTTTCCACGGCGTGCGTTGGCAGAATTCTTGATGTCATCGAGAATGTATTCCTCATCCTGTTCTTTACGGAGCATGTTCTTGACGTTGTAAGACTCCATCGAGGTGCTGCGGTCAGAGTCGGAAGAAGACTCGTCAGCTTGCTTGGAGGCATCGACCATCTCCACTTCGAGCTCGGTGGTTTCACCTGAGCTGGAGCCGGAGCCAGGAGCAGTCAAGTTGAGCATGTTGGCGAGGTAGACCCTCTTCTCCTCCTCTTCCTGATTGATGTCCTTGGCATTAGAAATGTCCACACCGTACAAAGTAGAGATAGCAGTACTGACGCGGGATTCAATGCGCTTGAGCAGAGTGGAGGTAGAGGGCTCGAAGCCGGTGGCGCTGGTAGCGTTCTCCTTGACCTTGTGGTGGTGCAAGTCCTTGCAGATAGAGGTGAATGGAGTAGAGCCAATACCACCGGAGATGAGAACGACTCGCTCGTAGAGGCCGACGTGCTGAGCGGGGGCGCCGTACGGGCCACGAATATTGACTTGGAGGGAATCGGTGACGGCACCGTCAACACGCGCTTGGAAGGCGCCGCGGAGCTCCTTGGTCCAGTCACCGAGGGCCTTGATGTAGAAGCACATAGTCTTGTCCTGAGGAGCCGAAGCAATGGTGAAGGGGTGCCACTCACGGTTAATGAAGGGGACCTGGACCTCTGCGTACTGACCGGCTTGGTAACTGAAAGCCTTGGGGACTCGGAGTTCGAGGATGTCACCGTCCTTGAGGACTGCGTTCTCAGCGGAGAGGAAGAGTTCGACAGCGGATACCTTCCTGCGGCGGAGGAACCTGTCGATGGCGTAGAGGATGAGCGGGGGAATGACCCACTTGTAGGTATACGGAACCTGCCGGAACATACCGTGGATGATGAGGAGGCCGAAGAAAAGAGTGGCGCCGATGATATGAACCGCATAGAAGAGGCGGAAGTTGTTCTTACGGACGGACGGGCGAGCAAGAACGAGCATGGTACCGAAGACGATGGCGAGCAAGAAGCCAGTGATGACGCTCATGTTGAAGCTCCAGAGGCCCCAAGTCCAGGCATCCCAGGTAATGAGCCAGACGAAATGGAAGGAACCATGGACGAGAACGGCAAAGAAGATGGTGTAGCCGACGACGATGTGGAGGGCCGGGAAAGCTGCATCGAACGGCAGGACGAGCTGAAGGGGTGAGTCGCGAAGCTTGGTGAAAAGCAGGCGCGAGGCGAGGAGGATCACGAAAGCGGTGTTGAGGTTAAGGGTGTAGCCCATGCCACGGGCAATGCCGATGAACCAACGGACGGTGTTGAAGTGGGGCATGTCGAAGTTGTCCTCGAAGGTGAACTCGGCCTTGAAACCCCAAGCGAACATGAGGGTGACGGCGGCGCCATAGAAAGCAAAGAAGAGGACTTTGAATGCGTGGGTGGAGAGGTATGCCTCGATGCGGGCGCTGAGACGGGCGACGTCGGGCTTGGATCTGGGAATCATTGTGAGTTGGGTGTGAGGATTGAGTGAGTGAGTGAGTGAGTGAGTGAGTGAGTGAATGAGTAGATGAGTGAGTGTGGAGAAGAAGTTGGAAGCGGACCGTGGTGGGGTGATATTTATACAGAGTGGGGGGGGAAGAGGGGAGATATGGGGTACCGACAGGGGTTAGTGAAATGAAATGGTGTGACGAGGACATGGCAGAGTAGTAAGAGAGGGGGGAGAAGATAGAAAGGGGTTGTAGAGTTTGGGAAGGGCATGGTCTGTTTCTCAAGACGGGGAGGTATCGAAATGACGAAGCGTGAAGAAAGTGAGTGGTGGGGGGTAGTATTATGTTAATCACGGGGTGTGTGACGGGCGACGTGGCACGGGGGCACTGCGGGGAGGAGACTGAGGTCTGGGGCAACGAACAGTCACGCGTGACACTGTAACTTTTAATATTAATGCGTCGGTAACCGCGGCAGTAGAATTCGTAGCCGTAGAATACTTGACGATTCTTCTCCGCGTTTCCCAGAGCCTTTTCCATTTCTTGCACTCTTCTCCCTCTCTCTCGACATCACCCCTCTGCATGTAACTAACAACAAAATTTCGAACGCACCTTTTATCACACCTCATTCAAAGGAAATCAATATCCAACAACTTCATCAAGCACACTGCGGGCATATGCCATAACCTCTTCCCAAACTTTTACCGCCCCCGAGACTACCCCCACTACAGAGTTTTTTTTCCAGGTTTCCGCCTTCATTGGGTGTTTCCCCCCTGTGCTCGACGAGCACCGTCTTCGGTCACAAACTTCCCACTTCTCGTACACGTCAGTGCTAAAACGATCCCCTTTTTTTTCTACGCAACCCGATTCTCCACACCATTTATCCTACTTCTGATCCACTTTACACACACACGTACCACCCCGTGTCCCGCCATAATTGTTCATTACCACGCCGCCATTTTCCTCGCCCTCTCCGCTCTCCAGCTCATTGCGTATCCGCACGCGATCAGCCCCATCACTTTCCATCCAACGTCAACCGAGCTCCCCATCCCCGGGGGAGCTCCATTTGCCTCCATGCTCGCTCCCCAAACAAACCGTCGGATACACCCGCTAAACAAGCCGACAGAGAAACCCCCGTCACCAGCATGACCAACGCGCGGGTCTACGTATACACCGACGGTCCATTTTTTTTCTTTTGTCCCGCCGCTTCCGTAGAAGATTCCCGGGGCTTCAGGGCCACGCCTTCAGGGCCAACGTAGCAACCGAGCTCTTTTTGCTACGCCAGGCTGCATTCGTGCTCCAACCCGGCGAAAGTGTTTCTATCTGCCCGAGATCAACAAGGGGGAGGAATATTAGTAAGCCTCAGATCCGCAGTACCTTGTTGCCTAACTACGTACTTTATCCCGTCTGTGTCGAGTCAGAGTAACGCTTTTACGCATTCTCCCCATGCCATCACCGGTAGCAGTACGTACCACCGTGCAATTCAACTCACTTTTGCACATTTGCACATTTACGAAAATTGTCCATAGCCTCTCATTTGGGCCCCTTCGGTCTGCGAACCGGCATGCATGCGAACCGGCATGCACACATTATTGAAATGTGTACATGCCGGTTCGCAGAATAGGGCTGCGGCAGTAGCGAGAGAATTCAATATTCAATATTCTCTCGCTACTGCCGCAGCCCTATTTGGGCGCCTCCGGTCTGTGGACCGGCGTGCACACATTTCAACATTCTCTCACTGCTGCCGCAGCCCCAGCCGCAAATCCGTCCCGTTTCTCCCACAACCCTCTCCACAACCTGCCCCGAAAAACGCCCAGCACCATGCTCCAAAACGCCGAGATTCTCCGCCACGAATCTTCCATCGATAGCAGCGTTTTGAGCTGACATGTTAGCTTTGGTTGTCTTCGGTTTGAAGAGGGCCTGGCGCTGTAAAAACACCAACCACAAGAAACGTGTGTATTCAGGCGCTACTAGCCGCAGATCCATTAATCAGCCACTGCTGTCTCTGAAAAAGCCATCAAGGACGACGTCGGGGCAGCGCGTGGTATGAATGCCAATTTCTTCCGCTGGTGATGTCACCGTGTGTTGACACACGGTGTTGATGTCAACACCGTCAACATACACGGTCATGCTGTTCTACGCGCTGATACAGAGGGGGGGGGGAAAGATATTTTCTCACTGGTCAATTTGTTGTGAGTCGCTCGGAACCGGGCCAGGTCGCCGGACGAATTTTGTAAAATTCATTTGATTTTCATGTTTTTTGCGCATTGCTTGCATGGTGGCTTCACTGCTGTCAACGAAGATGGGAAGAAAGGGAAGAATATTCTTCCATTTCTCATTTCTCGGGCGCTGAGAGAAACCGCCTCGTTTTTTTGAAGGATGTCTGGGTGTCAAACACGGGCATGAAAAGAGGCAGGCAGAGAAAGAACAAAACGAACATTCCTCGATTCCCTGGTCTCTGGATTTTTGCCTTCTATTGTTTGTATACAGTGCCCTTCGAAGGGTACAGTATACCGTAACGGTACCGTACAAGGGTACTGTACCCTTTTTTTGATCCAGCCGCTTCTGTACTTGTCACAACAGTATCGATCTTTTCCATTTCTCTCACTTGATGTACAAGTACCTGCCACACTGTGAATTCTACTGCAACATTCGGCACTGCTCTTCCAAGCTCAGATTTTTTCCATGCTTGGCGCACCTCATTGGTCACATCCATGTTTCATATATACATTTCTTTCTCCGATTTCCACAGTGAGTGATGGATATTACCCTCAATGCGCCCATTTCTTTGACTGTCCATGAAATATTGCACACCGCTTCACATTTCTGTGGACAAGGTCGTTCTGAAGCCTTCACGGAATGTCAAGAGGCACCACCCTTACATTGAAACGGTACAGTATTGTCTGAATCCCGGCATACAGCTTTTCGGCGAAAATCCTCCAAAACGCAGTAGTGCGTATGAGCTCTATCTCGATTTCATCGATTTCATCTTTTTCATCTTTTTCCTTCTTCTTCTTCCTCTCTTTATCTCCTTCTCTTCCCCCTCCTCCTCCTCTTTATTCTTTTTCTTCTGTCGGAACGTAACACAAGCTACAATGAACTGTGTTCGTCACGCATTAGGACATCGCCCTTTCTGTATGCTGTCCGCTTGATTCTAAACCACAAGCTGGCTCGAGTCGCACAATCTTGTGCCTATCCGAGCCATATCCGAGTCCGTTCACATTCTAGAACCCTCACAGCCATCCACTTTTCGTTTCCAACCTATGGATTAATGTTGATGAATTTCACTTTGGTCCAAGGCTTGTCTTTGCTTGTGCACTGCTTGGGTTGAAACTACTTACGTTATCTTCATCCCTGCCGTCCCATGTCGCAATATCGGAGGAGAAGAAATTCATTAGATTGCTGCGTGGACTTATGTTACGTTACCCTTCTTTTTGTTTGCAATTCTTGTACCATGTCTGACAATGATGAGACTATTACGTGGAGATGGTAACAGTTCGATTCGTGGTATTAGACATATAGGGAGAAACTCTCTCGAGAGGTCAAGTTGTGACCGACCAAGCTGCCAAGCCCTGTACTTGCTCGGTGCGGTATGTCTTTGTCTTTGAGTGTTTTTCGGTCGCATCTTTCATGCAAGACGTTCCATAATTTAAGTGGTAGCATAAACTGTTTGACATCATGTCAAGTAGGATCGAACTAGGTATCACGTCCGTATACCTGTTTTCCTTGCCCATACAAGAACGTGAGAGTATTATTGAAAAAGCGAACTGCAGCATGGAAGGCTGCAACTTTCACTGTCTATTGTCTATCCAGCCACTGTCCCCATATCAGGTCACTTTTCGACCTATTTTTCATGACTTGCGCTTTCTCGAAAAGAGGGAGAAGGATACCATCGCTACACCACTTGACTTCTGCATTTGAAAGAAAAGAGAATAGCGAGAAATACATGCCCTTCCGAGTGGTTTTTAGAAATTTCTGGAAAAGAAGCTTTTTAAAGCAACCTTGATAACGCAAAAAACGTGAGTTCAATAAAGGAATTGGGCACTTAATCTGTATTATAATCTTATTATTTTAGTTTCCTCAAAATCGCCATCTCGATGTTCTGCAAGATGTTATTGCCAGGGACATGTACGTTAAGGAAGTGGCGTTCAAAATAATTTTCTAAATTTAAAATCTATTGTATTTATTTTTGCGCAAAAAGTGCTGTCCTCATGTGAGGACGGGCCCCGGTCGGATAGACATTACAGACTATGCGAGGCCCTTTTTCTAGCTCCAGTTTAGTGTACTTAAAAGTCGTTGAGTAAGAGAAAGCCAAATTGCATTTGAGAACTTTGCCTAAACATAATATTTAGATAAATATACGATTCAAATAATCGCAAAATGAAGGAAAAATAGATTGTCGCATGTTAGATCGTCCCCTTCTTTAAACATCTGGATCTCATGAAGCGATTTTTCAGGAACAGTTGCAGTCATATGTTTTGCTTGGATCTTCCATTTCATTCACTTGAATGCTTTCTTTCATGTCGTTAACATGTCACACATTGAAAAAGTAGGACAGGCTCAATATGATCGATGCAATTTGTTCCAGCGCAGAAAAGGAAGATGTCACGACGAGTCTTGACATAAAAATGTTCGTGTGTGCTTGTCATTTTTTTATAATTGTAAATAATCAAGATTCACAGACGTTGTTTTGTGACGCAGCTGACAGAAGTGTATCCTATTTTCCCTTTGTAAAAGTAAAGATTGCGTCGTTTTTGTGAAGTTTATGCGAAGAAAAGAACAAACACATGCAGATCTGAAAACAAACCAAGCAGAGCAGCGCAGGTTTGATCTGTCTGCGACCTTTTCAAAATAAATACAGCAGTGGGAAGAAAGTATGAAAATCATTTGGATAAGTAAAAATCGAATCTTCTAGTGATGTGAAGGGCCAAGAACATACATGGTTAAAAGGCAATGACAGCAAGATCAAATCCTGCAGGTGAAGAAGAAGCGAAATTTGCATTGAAAGAATACATGATGAAGATCATTTAAACAGTAATTTGCAGGTGCAAATGCGTTGTTCGCCAGAATCAGCATAATGCCTGCACTTGAAATG